AAAGGACAAGCCCCTGCTGGCAGCAGGGGAGCGTGAGCGGGGCGGTGGGAACGGTCCCCCCCGCGCCTGCCGCGCGTCCCGGCGGGAAGGGGCCGTCTTACCCACAATCATCCCAACCTCGCACCGGTGATCTTCGTAGTAGCAGGAGATCATCGTGGCCACCGTGTCATTCACCATCGCCACCACGTCCATCTCGAAGTCCTGGGGAGGGGAGAGGAACCATGGGGGTCTGGCCGGGGGTCCGGGCTGTCCTGCAGTGGGGGTTTCGGGGGTCCCTGGGGGCGAGGACCCATGCGTTCAGCACGCACACGCCTTGCACACGCAGGTGTATCGGGGTCATAGGGACCCCCCAAGTCCTCACACTGCCCAGCCGCCCCCTCACCTTGTCGATGTCCTCGTGCCGCACGGGGAAGGAGAAGGTGAAGCCCAGGGGCAGCTTTTTGTGCTTCATCTGGTGTTTGTCCAGGAAATCGGAAATGCACTCGGAGAGGTAGTCGAAGAGCTGGAAGAAAGGAGGCCCAGCCCATCCTCCCACCGCCCACAGTCGGCCCCCATCCCCACCGGGGGTCCCCTGAGCGTGGCCACCTCCCTGCCACCCCCTGGCCTCTGCCAGCTGGGGGGATGAGGGTGCACCCATCGACGTCACCACCAAAATACGGCACGGGGTCGGATCCCTCTGAGGGTTGGGGACCCCCCTGTGGGTTGGACCTCACCCTGGGTCAGACCCCCCATGGATTGGGGTCCCTCCTTTGGGGCTGCCCCGCCCCTGGGTTGGACCCCCTGTGGATTGGGGACCAACCCGTGGGGTTGCCCCGCCCCTGGGTTGGACCCCCCGTGGGTTGGACCCTCCTGGGTCAGACCCCTCCCGTGGGTTGGGGTCCCCCCATGGGGCTGCCCCACCCCTGTTTGGACCCCCCATGGGTTGGATTCCCCCCTTGGGGCTGCCCCGCCCCTGGGTTGGACCCCCCCATGGGTTGGGGACACCCCCCGTGGGTTGGACCCCCCTGGGTCAGACCCCCTGTGGGATGGGGAACCTCCATGGGTCTCCCCCGCCCCTGGCTTGGCCCCCCTGGGGGTTGGGGAACCCCCCGTGGGGCTGCCCCACCCCTGGGTTGGACCCTCCACGGGTTGGGGTCCCCCCTGTGGGGCTGCCCCGCCTCTGGGTCAGATACCCTGTGGGTTGTGGACGCCTCCGTGGG